TTATTATTATTATTATTATTATTATTATTATTATTATTATTATTATTGTTATGTTTATTATTATGTCTATCTTATATTTACACAAAGACAAAGCAGTGTCTTGCTGAACATCCAAGAATATCCGCCATCAGAATCAGAAAACATTTAATTGCCAAGTACCTTTATTGGACATACAAGGAATTTGTTTTGGCGTAGTTGGTACATGACCAAGATCTCTAAATATGAAGAATATGATAACCAGTATTAAGTTTCACAGTTGAAATGTAACTATAAAAACATATACACAAAGTTTTATCCATCCATCCATTATCGGGACAGCTTATTCCCTAATGTGGTCACGGGAGAACTGGAGCCTATCCCAGTAGCCAATGGGGAGAGGCGGGGTCACCCTGGACGGTCCCCAGTCCATCACAGGGACACACAGAGACACACAAGGACCAACAACCACACACACTCACACTAAGGGCAGTTTGGAGTCCAACCAACCTAACATGCAGGTTTTTGGACGGTGGGAGGAAGCCGGAGAACCCGGAGAGAACCCACAGACACAGGAGAACATGCAGACTTCACCCAGAAAGGTCCTGGTTCTCCCGGGGACTTGAACCCAGAACCCTCTGGCTGTGAGGTGATGGTGCTCCTTATTTTGGCGTAGTCGGTGAATGACCGAGATCTCTTAATGTGAAGAATATCATAACCAGTATTAAGTTTCACAGTTGAAATGGAACTATAAAAATATACATACAGAGAGTTTTAAGTGAGTACAATTCAGTTGTACTGTATCCTTCTTGTATTACTTTTGTTATTGTGAGCTTCGAGACAGATTTAGTTCTCCTCACAACAAAACACACCAGGAACGTTTACCAGCTCATTCTGCTGTTTAATGACTTTGCACTTTTGGTGTTGCAGTAACGACACTGGGTGTCTTTAGCCTGAGGCAGCACTATTAATCTGTGTCAGGAAGGGGGGTCACAGCAGTGGGACAGGGAGGGCTGCAAAGAGGTTTTAATGACCCCCAAAATAGTTATTTAGAGTTGTGTGCATGCTCTTACTTACACACTGAA